GCACATATATCTATATGTATATATGTATACACGTACTTACACAGATTATATACACATCCATATGTAAGCTCTCTACATACATACACACGTGTATATAAATTTTATATTCATATACACACATGGATAAATTATAGATACACATATGCACATTCTATATAAATACATCTATAAATTCTATATACATATATGCACATATGTGGATAAATTCTTTACACATATATAAATCCTATATACATATACACACATTCTACATGCACACATATGTATACACATATCTATATAAATTCTACATACATGCACACACATACATAAATGCTGTATACATGCATATATACACGTGTGTGTATGAATTCTATGTGCATACACATGTATGCACATACATAAATGCTATATACATACAAGTCCGATGTTGTCAGTGTTCCGTTTTGATGGCAGAACACCTCTGTCCGAGGACCAACTTGGAAGTCACTGAGATGATATAAACGTGTCATCGTAGAACACCTCACACAGATAAGGAATAGAACCCTTGTACTCAGAACCCAGCCCCAGTGATGCCCCGTGAGCCAGCCTCCTCTCCATGTCCCACCCCACCCTACTCTTCTGAGGCAGATCCCAGCTGTTACATCCTTTCACTCTGGAAACGATGTTCTGACCATCGCCTCCTGCGAGTTCTCTGGAGAGAAGGTGGACTCCCACATAACTGACCATGGTTCAGGGACCTGGCAGCTTGAAAATCACACTGGGCATGCCCAAAATCCTGAGAGGAGAATGGAGGAGAAGGAACTGTGGTGAGGCCAACCTCCATGGGGGCGATTTCTCACTTTCCTACTCTCCGTCTCTCTCTGGAACAAGCACACGCCCTATGGCAAAAACCTAGAAGACAAATAGGAGTCTTGTAACATACTGAGATGCTTCAGGAAGATCACATGGCCTATTGCCCCTCCAAGGGCCAGATACAGGTTGAGGAGGAGAGGTACACTGGATATCTGGGAGCTCTGCAGAGAACATCCTGAAATGCACTAGCAGATGCATTAAATTTCCTGTATACTGTGCACATATATCTATATGTATATATGTATACACGTACTTACACAGATTATATACACATCCATATGTAAGCTCTCTACATACATACACACGTGTATATAAATTTTATATTCATATACACACATGGATAAATTATAGATACACATATGCACATTCTATATAAATACATCTATAAATTCTATATACATATATGCACATATGTGGATAAATTCTTTACACATATATAAATCCTATATACATATACACACATTCTACATGCACACATATGTATACACATATCTATATAAATTCTACATACATGCACACACATACATAAATGCTGTATACATGCATATATACACGTGTGTGTATGAATTCTATGTGCATACACATGTATGCACATACATAAATGCTATATACATACAAGTCCGATGTTGTCAGTGTTCCGTTTTGATGGCAGAACACCTCTGTCCGAGGACCAACTTGGAAGTCACTGAGATGATATAAACGTGTCATCGTAGAACACCTCACACAGATAAGGAATAGAACCCTTGTACTCAGAACCCAGCCCCAGTGATGCCCCGTGAGCCAGCCTCCTCTCCATGTCCCACCCCACCCTACTCTTCTGAGGCAGATCCCAGCTGTTACATCCTTTCACTCTGGAAACGATGTTCTGACCATCGCCTCCTGCGAGTTCTCTGGAGAGAAGGAGTGCTCGCTGGGTCCAGGAATCTCTCCCTGCCTGTGCCACCCCCAGGAAGCAGCTGCAGACTGGGAATGAACCAGATGAACCACAGCATAAGACTGTCCAAGCATCATCACATACACGTATGCACACACATGTGCACACATATGTGCGTACTACGGTGCTCCCTGAAACTCCAAAGCAACACTCCTAAATCTTCATCCAGAAGCCACAGCCAGTGGACGAAGGACAGGGAAGGGACGTAGCCCTCAGATGCAGGGGAAGTGTGCTTTAGCCCCCGTGGCCTCCAGGGTGTCCCTGAGCCTCTCAAATCTCAGTTTGTTGGTGTCCGTGTAAGGACGAGCTTGTTCCCCCACTCATAGAGGCTCCTTCCTGTGTTAAGTCTTCATTTCTGAGAGCCCAGGCTGTGTGCTCTTTTCAACTCAGGAACACCATAGAGGCAGAACATGCAGGTTTTGTGGACCTAAAGCTGGTAGGACCTGGAGGTCCTCATTAAGAACACTGAACTGTCCAAAGAGGTCAGGGACAGGACCTTGGAGGAGTCCAGGCAAGGGAGGGCCCTAAAGCATGAGTGTTGTAGGGCTAGGCACAGAGGGGAGCCAGGGCTCCTTGGCCTGTTGTGAGACATCTTACACAGGGTGTGGCTAGTAAATGGGAAGCAAAAGCTGCGTCCTCACTACGGTGGTGCAAGGACGAATGAACTCACTAGAACCAAGCTCTGGTTCCTTACAGACGCGGGGTGCAGTCGCACCAAGCTGGAGCAGGGTGGAGGAGAAGGTCTACAGCATCAGACTGGGCTATGGTGGGGTGTGTGGGGTCCCATGGAAGGTGTTCTGGCAGGTGTACAGCCTTTTGCAAATATGTGATGAGAGGCACATTGACTAAGAGAGATGGAAGGGAGAAGGGGTTGTAGACTGGGTGATGCTCCTGACAGGAGAGGAGAGGGAGGGGAAAAAATTAGTTTCCACACGGAGAAAGAGGCGTCTGAGCCTGCCCCCTGGTGGCAATGTGTGGTACTGCTCCTGGTGGGCGTGTCAGGATGGCCAGGAGCCCCCAAGCTGGTCACCAAAACTTGCAGAGTGACTACAGGCTAAGGATGTCTCTCTTCTGGGTCTTAGAATTCCTATCTCCAGAATCCAGAGTGTTTTTGTGGGATCCATGTTCCTCAGAGAGCTGGACAGAGGCACTTTATAAAACCATTGAGTCTTGGGACCAGCAGTTGGCATAATGGCTATGTCGCTGGACTCCCATGTAGTCGACCGCAATCCGCGTCCCAGACCCGGTGGCTTAAACTCACGCTGGGCGAGTGTGCGTGTGTGCCCAAGATCCCGAGAGAATGGAGGAGAAGGGATTGTGGTGTGGCCATCCCCCCTGGGGGGTGATTTCTCGCTTTCTGTCTCTCTGTCTCTGTCTGTCTGGCGAGCGCACGCACCCTATAGCAAAATCCATCGAGTCTATGGACAGGATTTCTCAACTGGAATCTCTTACCTCCTACATGGCTCTTAACCCTTGGCATCTGCTACCACTTATCTGCAGGAAGACATTCACATAGATGACCAAACACAAAACGCGTGTGTGCCAGGCTGCAAATGAATGTGAGCAGAGGCCGTGGGATGTGGCTTATGATATTCCGTGCCATGGACGTGACAACTCGAGTTCCCATCGTGGTCCACTCTGGCTTGTGGGGAGTGGAGTCAGCCTTTTCTGGCTTTTCCAGCAGCCCTGCATCCCTCCATATTGCATGGTGGAGGGGCTCTGAGTGACCAGGTGGCCACATAGGAGGACAGCTTGACTGCTAAGAGCCTGCCAGCCTGCTCCAGAGGTCTCTGATTCCTGGGCCGAACCTTGGGGGACATTGGGGAAAATGTCCCCCGGGGCAGGGTCAGACGGTGGGGAGACTTTCAGGAGGGTGGAGATTGAGAGAAAAGAAAATGGAACTCATGCCAGAAATGATAAAAATAGAGGTCAGAAACTTGGGGGATTTTTCTCAAGCCAGAATCCCAATCCTGATTGTCCATCTTTAAGTCTTACTGTCCACGTGTGGGTCTCTCTTACCCCTCCAGGTGCCTTTTCCTTGTCTGTGAAGGACGTCACCGCCCAGGGGGAGATGATCAAGCACTATAAGATCCGCTCCCTGGATGAAGGGGGCTATTACATCTCCCCTCGCATCACCTTCCCGTCCCTGCAGGCCCTGGTGCAGCACTATTCTGGTGAGGGGAGTGGGGGTGTCTAATGGAGGTGGGGTTGTGTGTCAGAGGAGCCCGTGTATCCTTCTATCACAGCAGCCCCAATCGTGTGGTCAGTGGTGCCACCTTGGGGGAAGGGGCTTACATTGAAGTGAACCTAAGGAGTTGGCACTTCTCAGTAGAAAGATACAGAGTCCATGGTCCTAATCCCCTCTACCGGCTCAGCAGGGGACCACTGGGAGAGTAGCAAGTGGCTCCAGTCTTAAGACACAGTGGGTCCGGTCGGTGATGGTGGTGATGGGGGTGATAACGTGGCATGCCCTGTAACACAGGAGAATGAGCCCAGTGTGTTTGCACAGAAATGCCGGGGAGGGAGCAGGGGCTGGTGGGGAGTGAGGGGGCCTGGCTAGGAAGGATATGTCTCCCAAGCGAGAATCTGGCTGCTCCGATAACCTCCAGCCCCATCTTCTCTTCCCTGGTGCAGAGAAAGGGGATGGCTTGTGCCAGAGGCTGACGGGGCCCTGTGTGGGCCTGGCTCCGCAGAACCCCTGGGCCCAGGACGAGTGGGAGATCCC